GGAGAACAGGCGATTTAGTCGTTGGGGGCGCAACGACGTGAAGGATAGGGCTCATTGTTGTTCGGCAGAGTGACGACGAGGAGGCGGCGATGACGCTGTCGCAAGCGAGGCGACGGGTGATCGTCATTCGAGGGAATAACCTGGAGGAGGGCAACACGCTGTCGTCGACAAGGCATTGGTGATTGGTGATGGTTATGGAGGTGCCGAAGTTGCGACACCGGGGAAACCATCGAGATCATCGCAAAAGAGAGCAAGGTGGATACGGCAAACATGCCGGCCGTCGTCGAGGTGTGCATGAGCTCTTGTAAGGTGCGTCCAAGAATTCGGGGGTGTGAGTCATCTGATGAAGTTGAGATGCGTCACTGGCGGATGAGAATTAAGAGTTAGAGCAGATGGAGAAAGGAAATTGTGCCTTGCGTTTCCATTCGTGATGAAGGAGTTCCGGCGAGTTCATATACGGTGAAGTTGAGTTGCACGTATATGGCGAGTTGTGTTGCCGCTGGACAGGGAGAGTGTCGTTTGGTAAGTTGTGTCACCAACGACGATGGAAAAGTGGAGATGTGGTGGGTGAATAGTTGTGCCTCCCCGTGCGCAAGTAGTCAACGAGAAGATGAAGATCAATGCGAAGAGGACACACACCAGTTAAATTGAGTTCCTGCATGAGGCTATGTGTTTAGTCTGCATGTAGCACACTAAGATGTGGCAGCGTGACTGGTAGTCCGGATAATCGTTGGTGTCAGTCTACAAAAGTCGACATAAAAAAGATGGTGACGAAGTGGTGGCATCGTTGTAAGAAGAGGGAAGTTGCAGTCTGGTAAGTTGCGACACCGGAGGCAATCAGTGTGACAAGATGCACGTGTAGTCGTCTGCGTGTCTCGCCGAGTAAAGAATCGGATGTTTGGATTAGGGGGTGAATGTTGGATAATCCAAACATTCCTACGTGCCACTAGTGTTAAGTTGCGTTTGAGTTTTGTTTATTTACTTGCCGTATAATTAGATTAGGTAGATGAATTTGTGTCCGGCCAAGAGTAGTACTACATGGCCGTGTCCTAGCTAGTTGTGCTGGACGTATAGCAGTAGTTTGAGTCAGTTTAGGAATCATAAGTTGGGTCTGATTCCGTTCGGAGGTCTGGGTCGGTGGCGACCTGCACTTATATATACCCGGGTGTGTGTGAGTTTTGTATTGAGATATTGACAGAAACAAAGAGAAAAGAGGACACGACAAGAGCCCTTAGCTATCAGTTATGTGTGCGCGTGTGTTTGCGTAATTTTATGTGATCGATCCTGAGGTCGAAATTCCAACATCGACGCCTACCACACTGCCGCCACTTATTCCGGTGTCGCACTCGCGCTCGGGCCAAGTCCAAGAGCGTGACCATGCTCCATCGGCGGAGACGACAGATCCCCGCCGTGCGAGCGCTGGTAGTGCAGTAGGCGCCACGTCCGGCCGGTCGTACGTTGATTTGCGCTGCACCAATCGATGGCCATGTCATGGGCCATGGTTCCGGAGGGTTCCTACGCGAGAGTTAACCTCCAACAGGCCTCATAAGTGGCATACTTCCAATATACGACAGACGTTGCTCCGGTGAGATTCACATAGGATGTCATTATATACAGAATTTTTTCCCCGGGGAGGACGAGATTCCGGAAAAGAATGATGTTTTTTGAGAAAACTTCCAATCAATTTATCATTAATCGTCACAGTACAACGGACACTAAAAATAATAAAAATTACATCCAGATTCATAAACCACCTAGCGACGACTCCAACCACCGAAACGAGCTAAAAGCGCGCCGTCATCATCGCCCTTTCCTCGATGGAGCCGGGCAAAATTTGTTGTAGTTGACAGTTAGGAAATCGTCGTGCTAAGACCACATAGGACCAGCGCACCAGAACAACAACCACCTCCGGTGAAGATAAGTGTAGATTGGAAAGATTCAACCTGAAGACACACGAACATAGACGAATCAAGATCAGATCCGAACGGATCCACCGAAGACAACCACCAACCGAATCCCGTGAGATCTCCCGTCTGCTGGCACACCTCCCTCTCCTCTTTCCTCTCTCTTTCTCCCTCCTCTCCTTCCTTCTCCTTCTCCCTCTCATCTTCTCTCTGTCCTGCAGATCGAATCGAGCGCTGCCACCGTCACCCTTTGCCTGCAGGTCATTGCCGCCGCTGGAGAGAAAAGTGAAGGAGAGGAAGAGGCGGCGCAGTGGAGAGCAGGGGAGGAGGGGAGTGAGGCTCGAGGAGCCGAGGGATTGGCTACTCGTTGACGTGAGGGATAGGTCACTAGGTTTTCACCGCGTAGCACGATCCAACCCCACGTGGCCACGTCTCTCCCTTCTCTCACCCAGGACCAAGGTCTTTTTCTCGGGCAAGATTTTTGGAAACCAGTCGAAAACTGGAAATTCCGGTGGCCATCGAAAAATATTGATACCTTCAATATTTGAATTCAAACGTTCGAACAAAGGTTAAATGGTGTTGGCTATGGAACATATTTCAATTACTGGAGGTTGCTCTGGTGGTTAGGCTCTCACTCTAGTTCCCACACGATTCAGGATTGACTCCTGCCGGTCTCATTTTATTTTTTTAGCTGGTTGACATTCTATGGAATGAAAAATAATAATAGTTTGATGCTGTGGTCAAGTATCAAACTCGCGTCGTCGGGGTTAACATGATATGGGATGATCACTAGAGCAAGGGACACTCTTGATAAACTGTCTGGTTAAATAAATTATATTTTGACACTAAAAATTATTGAATTCATACTTTGTTTGAACATTTCATATAAAAAAATCTAAATTGTCGAGATTTTTCGGAAACCGGCCCTTTTGGTCCGACCCGGAAAATAACGGGATTGAGGAAAAAAAAACCTTGCCCAGGGCATACGCAGGACACGCAAGAACGCTGGGCCTGAAGATATTTGAGGCCCATCCGTCATGCACAAAATAGCGAAACAAAGGAGTCACACAGAACGAAAATGCACACCCGACGCAAATGGCTCAGGAAGGTAGCCTAGCGTGGTTTATAATATATAAATGTACTTCCTCCGTTCTAAAATTCTTGTCTTAGATTTGTCTTGATACGGATGTATCTAATACTAAAACGTGACTTGATACATTCGTGTTTGAACAAATTTAAGACAAGAATTTTGGGACGGAGGGAGTAGCACTTAAGGGGGGCGTCCGGGGAAGTGTTTGATGTCCTAACTGACCCCGATATGCTCGAGGCATATGCGTGCGTGCAGCGAGGCCATGGCACTCGTTGAGGATCTATTGACGTCCAAGCTCTTGATCGCCTCGGCTGATGGGGCTGTCTTGGTGTTGGGCAGTACTGCATGATTGTTAAGGAGAGGTTGAAGAAATGGTTTTTTTTTTTGCACAGTAGATTATGTCATGAGCATCACGAAGCAAATGAGAGGCTGGGGAGGATGGCAACTTCACTTGATATTGGACGCCTGCCCTTTTCCAAAAAGAAAAGAAAAGAGTAACAAAGGCTGTGCTGAGCGAGATCGGAGCGGTCGTTTCAATCAGCGTTGCCGGCTTGTCTGGGGCCTAGGAGTGGAAAGCTTTGCCTTGCCAATTATGCTAGGCGTCCAGATCTGCACGATGCGGTCCGTGATGCTGGACATTGGGCAAAAGGGGCCCCGGCCGCATCTGCTGAAAATCTTAAACCGACGGGCAGATGCCTCCTCTCCTCCCTCCTCTGGGTAGAGTGGCGCCAAAGATGGTGTGGTCCTAGCCTGTCTTGTGGCGTCCGTCCTTGTCCAGGCCGGTTCACCTAGCTTTCTCAAGAGAAACATAGCACGTTGGGATTATTATATCTGTTGTCCAGTACGACATACCTAAAATGTTGCTGCTGCTTGTGATTAATTATCGTCAGATGAGCATGCTGCATGTGGGTGTCATCTCATCAGAGATTTAGCAGAAGGGACTAGCCCTAGAAGATAGTAATGCTATGTACTATACCATGTTAGGTGCATTATCAGGGAACTGGTTATATATATTTACTATGGCTCAAGAACACCATTAATCTGTGTGCATTACATTCGGCAATGACACACGCCCAATATGTGCATCTTGGAGTATATTTCCATATATCTACTAGTCATCAATATGTGCATGTCTTACATTCTGTCTCTGTATCTTAATTACAACTTTAGAAGATACACCCTCCGTTCTAAAATAATTAAAGTTTGAGGTTTGTCCGAAGTCAAATTTGCTTAAGTTTGACCAACTATGGAAACAAATGTGCTAAGATCTACAACACCAAATATACATAGTATGAAAATATATTTCGTAAAGAATCTATGGAGACTAATTTGGTGTTGTAGATGTTAATACTATAATTTTCCACAGACTTGGTCGAACTTAAACAAGTTTGACTGAGGATAAACATAGAACTTCAACTATTTTGAAACGGAGGTAGTACATAGTAATGTTGTCACGATGTAATTTCCGAGGACACCACAATTTCTCCAAGTGGCTGTTGCAGCCTTGCAGTTATAAGCCGGAAGCTATATAGTCCCTAGCCATCGATCGACTGGGCATCCGCATTGTTACAAAAGTATAATACCTGCATTTGAAATAGCGAGGGAACTCTCACATGGAATATATAGTACTGCATCTGAATCACTTGAATAAGCAAAGCAATCAAAGCAACAATTAACAGAAGGGTAGTAGAATAGTGAAAACAAGAAATATTTTAATCTCCTTGCCTTCTCTATATAGTGACCAAACTGTCTATCTGGTCAAGGAATTCCATCAGAGAAACTCAACTGGAAGAAAAAACATATGGATCAAACGCACACACGAGGTTGACACAAGCAAATCAGTCACTTGACATGCGTCAAGCTAATCAAGATACTCCCACAAGCATATAGTAGCAGTTTCACATGCTTGTAGTCACCAAAGAGGACTTTTAACATACCGAAAGAGCTAGCAGATGCGCGCCCGTCAACTAGTGCATCTGGAGATGAGGGACCAGTTAGCAGACCTATCATAGACGAAGAGACAAGTCGACGTCGACCACGGTGCCGCCGTGCTCCGACCAGCTGATGCCGTGCTTGTGCGCCTTGACAGCAGCACCAGCCTTCCCGGCCGGACACAGGATACCGCCGCCGTACCAGGGCAGCCTCTCGTCCGGCGCCTCAGCAGGCGCACCCTCCCGAGCGGCAGCGGCCTGCCGGCGGCGCTTGGCCACGCTGCGCTCATGCTTATGCGCGTTCTGGTGGCCGCCTAGCGCCTGCGAGGTGACGAACTGGCGGTCGCAGTACACGCAGAGGAAGAAGCCGACGCGGGGCTCCGGCACCATGGGGCGGAGGGTGAGCTCCAGGCACAGCTCCTCCTGCTCACCGGTCAGCTGCTCCATTCTAGTAACGGACTTACCACCGTCTATATGGGAGTGTGAAAGCTAGCCAAGGGCGGACTTGCCACGCAAATTGTTGTCCTGCCCGAAGGATTTTTATATAGTATAGCTTAACGGGTTTTGCACTGTTCATTGGGATCTCGTTACTGTAGCCGGTGGCCGGACACGGCGCACATCTCCCGTCCCGCCGACCGTTGATTGGCTGACGGCGGTCGCTACCGAAGAGTGGCTGGGGGGATTTATCACACATGTATTAAGGGTTGATACCTATTTCTTCGTTTCATCTACACTGAGAGCTAGGAGCGCTCCGCGAGTTTGTTCTTGGGGAAATCGATGGGAATCAAAATAGGGTTGCAGATGCTCTTGTTGGCTAGAATAAGGTCAACTGGTGATAGCACAGCTTGTTGGCTACAGCTTCTGTCCTCTTAGCTGACCGTACGTAATCCGTCAGTCATGGAATAAAACTCGCTGATTCCCCCGAAAAAAAAGGATTCACATAAGACTTGAGACACTACTTCAACTTGTTCACTGCTACACCGGTGGCATGAACAAAC